ATACATAATAAATTGGTGACCCAGAGAAGATCTTGTGACCAAATCCTATTATTATTTGCTTCTCCCGAAAGACAAACTTTGGCTTCACGCCTGGGTTCAGACCTGATGTGATGTTGTGTAAGTCCCCTCAACTCTGCTGGAACAGTTGATTGGTTTGTATAAATATTTAGTCACAAGAGAAATATAAAAAAACATTTGGGGAAAAGCAGGGGAATGGGACTAAACTGAATACGCTTTTGAAGAGCCAGCATAGGCATAATCGGCCAAATAATTTCCTTGTGTACTGAAAATTTCTATATGTCTATGGTTAAAGGGAAGGTGTTGTAAGACACAGCATGAAATAATTAGTGGTTGAAAATGGTCTTCTGATATAGGTAGTTAAGCTCAGAGACATTACTTTGCATGAAGGATGCTAAGTTATTGTTATTCTTTGATGTAGCATTTTAAACCTAGATTGTACATAAACAATAATCTGAGAAAATTCAAACACATTTAATGAAATTAAGCTAAACGGCCAAACAAATATGGGTGGTGGTGGCACAGGCGGAGAGAAGAGAGATGTGATTTGGATTAGAAACCCTCTCAATAAGTGAAATAGATTGTCATGAGACTATTAATTAAAATAGTCCTTGCATTTGTTATCGAAATTTCTCAAAGTGCTTTACAGAATTTACTTTTAATTTAATTTACAATTGTGCGCAATTGGTTGCCATGTTTCACCCACAAAATGTACAGTCAATTCACTTTGCAGAATATTCTGTGAAGCTCTTTGAAATGTCTCAATGACTTGATAAGGAGCTATATCAAATATAAGGATTTTTATTATTATTATTAGAGTGCAGTGACTATTTTTTCAGAAAATAAAGAATAATTGTTCTCTAACAGTAGAAGCATAGTTATTGGGCTCAGGAAGTAATTTCGCCTACCGATTATACACTTACCATACTTTACAGCAAATCCTATTCTTTGAGATGTCCTCCCGACATAAAAGGCGCTTTATCAAATACGATTATTATTTTTAAAAAGTCACACAGATTTTGGTCATTCTTTTTCCTTAAAGAGCCTTGGATTCACTCATCACACCCAGGATACATGGAGTGCAAATATAGAAGAGTGACAACAGTCTATGGAACAATACATCTAATTCCTTTTAATTGCTATTGAAACCTGTATGCAGCTCAAACAGTGTAAATGGTTGATTGCTGTCTATTTTGTCTCGCTTACAAGGCATACTAACTGTTAAATTAAAATCTTAACGACAGTTAAAATCCACAAATTTCAGGTTGTGTTTTCCATTTAAGGTTATTTTGGAAAAATCTGAGATCAGGCTTTAATCTTCAACAAGAAAGCCACAGCACTTGAGCAAGAGGCTCACTTGCTTCCGTTTTAATATAAATGCAATTAAGGGACAAGTCTCAGCCGCTTACTCACCCGATCGATCAATCTAAAAAAATGTCTGGTAAATACGCTACAGTGTTACCCGCTATCCATAATAATTGAGATCAGACTCACTGTGGATATCGAAATATGCAGATAATAGGTCATCATACGGATTGTAATAAAGAGTGAATTTAAACTTACCCTGTACAATAATGTGCTCTCTGCACAGCACTGCATTTTCTATGTACAGTACTGATCGTAAAATCAAATGCAGCCACAATGACATTGTCACTCACTCACTAACCTCTACCTAACAGAAACATGAGTAAGATACTTAAGCAAAATAAATGAGGCACAATAAAGTTGTGACTTTGAACTCAATCGAGCTGACACTCCAATGCACCAATGTGAGTAGAGTGCTGCATTCTTTGGATGAGACATTAAACCAACTGCACATCAGACTTCCGGCTGACCATGTCCCATCTGCCTGTTCAGGTGAACTTAAAGATCCCATGACGACACTTCTCAAAAAGGGAAGAGTTTCTCCTGGTGTTGCCCAACCCCCAAATAAAACTGGTCTCTCATGTCATGGCTGATTGTGGGACCTTGCTGGGTGCAAACTGGTTGCTGTATTCACCTACAAGATACACGGTCATTGCAGTAAATCACGTGAAATGCTTTGAGGCATCCTCTCTGCTATATCAAATGCAAAGTTTTTTTTTATTAGTTGGGGCGGCAGAAATTTTTGTCATTATTTCTGCGCATTGAATTGATTCTGCAACAGTTCCTATTGAAACTGTTATAATTTGAATTCATTTACCACTGTTACATTTTAACACACAGAAGACCACATGGCACTGCTCTTTTCCTGGGATCACGACTCAAATTTGTTCCAAGGATCATATTTGAGCAAAAGGTTACAATACATAAATTATAGATTATAGATTAAATGCAACAATTATCAATGAATTACCCTTTTTTTACTATGTGTGGTCACTGAAACAATTAAGCAGAGCACCAAATTCATTGTGTGAAATCAGACAAAACGGAACAGCTTTTTTGGTCAGCCAGGAGTCTGATGTGCAGTTCCATTACCATGTCCGGAGTCTAACTTCTCACGCGGGGGGGAGGGGGGGCCGGGAAAGAAAGAAGAATACGGATTGATGCACGCCACACAAACTTTGTCTAAACCTAGAAAATACCAGAGCAAATCAGCAGAAGCTGACACTCACAATTTCAGGTGCTGGATCAGCTAAAACCACGTAGTTTATCCGTGCAAAGCATTGGTAAGCTTCCCGCTGTTTTTCCAGATAGAATCAGCCTACCTGTTAAACGTTCTTTTACAGGGCTATGAGGTACAGAGTCTAAAGAAACCAGTCTCCTAGTGACATGTCCACCCTCCCAAGCCCCATTGAGAAGCCAGGCAGAGAGTTCAATTGCCAACAGTATCTTGGAATACTTCAGATCTTGGGTACTCAATCAGCGAACCCACTACATAGTTGACTCATATCCACTCATCCTTTTGTCGGATGTGTCACCGTGAATACAGCCCAATCTTCAGAGAGACACCGCTCAACTTCCCCACCCTCTGAGGGTCAGTCACAGGTTGGTTACAGAGTGAGATGTAGAAAGAGACTAACAGGTAGTACTTTCTAACTTGTGTCAAGCTTTGTGTCAAGCAGTGATTTGGTGTTATTATCTAGCCAATGATGGTTGTCTCCACTGATAAGAAGATTTTCCTTAAAGTTAGGCTACCATCTTTTGGTAACCATTTTATGCTGAAACATTGCTTTTGACCATCACCAATTCCTGAACAAGCAACAAAGTGTTAGGCTGAAATGCACTGAATTTATCATAACAAAATGTAGAAATTGTGTAACATATATATCTTTACACTAATAAAACGACTAATAAAACAACTGCGCTTCAAGAAAGATCTCAATAACCAACTGATGTAGAGACATCATGTAGATTTATACCTCATCGGAAAGGTCTTGGAGCTGGGAGTGACATGGGCATATTTGTTTTCAGGTATCTCCTATCGTTCATGAGTTATTTTCAGTTTTGCGTTGTAGTTACACCTGGTGGCCGCCGAGTCAAAATGGCGCTGTGGCATCGTGTGTCACAGAGCACATATGTATGTACGCATCGCAGTTACACCTGGTGGCCGCGTGGGCTGACCGTGGCGCTGTGGCATCCTGCGTCACACAGCACGCACATAGCCAAGCGGCGGGAACAAAATAAAGAACACAGGCAAAGCTAAGCTGCGGCAACAACAAAATAAATTACATTTTTAAAGCACCGAGTCCTCCCACTGAGTCCTCCCAAAAGTAATCCTCCCAAAAGAGTCCTCCCAGATGAATATAAAGATGAAATGTCAGTCTGTGTGTCAATCTACATTCCATATTGGATCCTTTGGTTGCAAGCGAAGCTTCAACAGGTACAGCTAGTACTGTAGCACCAGGGCAGCATGCAATTAGGAAGTCAATGTAAACCACAACAAACCACAAAATGCAAAGAAGATCATTGAAGAAATAAGGAAAAATTACTTTTTTAAAAAAAACACATGAATTTGTCAATGAATGTATATTGCCCAAATCCCATAATAAAACTGTGTGTACTGTGCTGGGCCTAAGCTAGGGCATCAATATCTAAACACGGAACTGAAAGGGAAGTGCTCAATAGGGCACAATATGTACACAGTGAGCAAACGGGGTATGCAACTGGTTGCTCAAGTCTCTATGAAAAGGTCACGTTTAATTGGCTGTTTTAGCAGTCTGCAACTACAGTAATCACTCTCAAGAAGACAGGTGTGAAAGTCTGGTTGATCAAAGTCTTGATGAACAAGGGTTTTTAAGGAGTTTTTGTTTTAAATACTGTGATCTAGTTGTGATTGAGGTGTGACTATAATTGACCCAGGTATCCACGGGGCAGGAAGGGGCAAAGAAAATCAGGAAGGAATCATGCGCCTGATCATTATCTAATGACCCCTGTGTGCATAAGTCAATATCAGTCATGGACAGAATCAGAATTGGCTCTGATATCCTTCCTCATGACAAGCAGGCTGCCATCCTAACCCACACATACACTACATCATGCAGTGGAAAGTTGCTGATTCCCATGGGATGGTACCTGTGTGAAATCATTACCTTGGTGCTCCAAAGAGATATGCCTGGTTCATCAACCAGGCTTCGAGAAGCAGTCATGTCCAAGTAGACAGAAACCCATCTGCCAATGCCCTGATGGACATGTACCTTTCTCCATGGCTATCATCTAGTTGAAGCCACCTGCACTCACCTGTCACAGAGTGGCCATAGGAGGATGGTCCTGTCCCTCCATTCACCCACAGAATGGTGAACAACACAATGAGCTATGGTGGAGGAGTGGGCCGCGAAGGGAAGAAAATTCATAAGAAAAAAAATATATTCAATAGGGCACAAATCTGAAATCTTTCATTTCACTCACAAATGTGCAATTGTACATTTTAATTCCTTACCAGCACAATAATAATGATAAATGTGGATCGTAATACAATCTTGGGAGACAGCTGGGGCAGAATTGAAATCCGGAGGATTTCATGAGCTTGTGAATATCATTTCATCCATTATTATGGCTCCTACCTGTTTCTGACGAATCCGTCTCGATCTCTTGCTCTTCAGCAAAATCTTGCAACAAGTACGTTTCATCATCGTAAACCAGTACCTGTGCGGCATAGACCTGGTCGAGCCTGGCACTGGGAACTGGCTCAACAATCACCGCTGGGTAGTTTGCACTGCTCTCTGCCTCCTGAAAAGCAAAATAGCACAGAATAAATGAAGATTAACAAGAATGCATCAGAGAAAGATGCTGCTTTAGCACAGTAGTGTATCACTTTGCATTTAAATTAAAGCAAAAAGGCAGAAATCCACTGATGAACTTGTGGATTCAACCCACAATCTGCATTTAGCCCTGAGCCATATAGACCCGGTTCAATTTCCAGTGTCTGCTGAGATAGCTGTTCTTAGCAGGGCACTATTAATAATGATAATAGCATTTGACGTCTCAAAGCACTTCACAGGATATACTGTAAAGTGAATTGACTGTATATTTTGTGGGCAAAATGCAGCAGTCAATTGCGCACAGCGGTGTCCCATGAACAGTCGGGGATTGAGGAACCAAATTATTCTTATTGTTTATTTATTTTTCAGGGGATTATTCCCCTGAAAAAGCGATCTGCCAATCTGTAAACCGAGGCGTGTGGAGTAAAGAAACATGCCTAAGGTTTCATCCTGTCCAAGCATCGAACCCAGGTCCTCTCACTTGCGAGATGAGTGCTCTAACCACAACACTACAGAACTCCACATTAGTTGCAAGGTGTGTGCTATAACCACTATGCCACAGAACTCCACATTAAATCAACATTAAAAATCAAACTTAGCCACCGTGGGCTCGCCACACCGTGGGCTCGCTTAGAATTCACCAACACACACACCAACATATCTGATGCTACTGGCACTGGAGGGGATCAATGCATATTAACTGATATTCAATAGTTAAAGTAAGACATGAAGCTGTCAAGATAATACAAACACCAGCACAATGAGTGGATTCATTCACCTCCTTACAACAGAACAAAATGCTCTCATTCACAGCTTCTGTATTATCACAGACATAGAGACTTTGTGGCTCGAGCTGAATATGGCTTATATCAGTGAATACTTCACTCTCTGACAAGATGCACGTTTGGTAAATTTCCAAACATTTTTCAGGCTAGAGCCCGTAGCATGGAGGAATTTGCTACGTCAAAAGAGTGTGTGTATGTGTAACCAACCAGTGCATGCAGATTTTGAAGTCTTTTCAGCATGATTATTGAATGTTTAAATATTCAATATAAAATAGTAATTGAGCAAAGAAAACCCTGCGTTGGACAAAAGAGGTGGAGATGCTGAGAATTTACTATGTCAATATAATAATCTCTTCTGGCTATGAATCAAATTGGGATCTAGCTATAAATACACAGTCACTACACAGTAAATCCTGTGAAGCTCTTTGAGATGTTTTCTCAAGGCACTATCATAATTCCTATATTTTTGTAAAATAATAAATAATCCTTGCAATTGTGTCTTGGGGATTGTTGGCCAAGACACTGACAGAAACTCCCTTCTCTTTTAGAATAGTACTATAGGATATTTAACTTCCACCTGAACACGCAGATGGGACATCTGTTTAACAGCTCATCCAAAGTACGGCAACTCCAACAATGCAACAAACCCCCAGCACTGCACTCTATCCTCCTCCACCGTCTCTTCTCTCACTCTTCATAGTTCTGACCTTAAATGGTTCAGATCCAACTTCTCAAACCGTCTCCATTTTGTCTCTACAAACAGCTTTTCCTCCATCCCCCGTACCATCTTGTGCAACGTTCCTCAGGGCTCTGTCCTTGGTCCTCTCCTCTTCAACCTGTACATGCTGCCTCTTGGTGACATCATCCTCAGACATGGGATCAACTTCCAAATGTATGCAGATGACACCCAATCTATCTCTCTACCTCCACCCTTGACTCCAGGACAACTGCTGTCCTGACAGAATGTCTGTCAGACATCAAGTCCTGGATGAGAGCTAACTTTCTATAGTTGAACGTTAACAAGACCCTCCTGATTTGCTCCCGTCAGGGCCTGCACACCTCAGGCACTGGCAGCATCACCAGCCACAGATGCACACTCCACCTCACTGAGCCAGACAGGAACCTAGACGTCTTGTTTGACCCTCAACTGTCCTTTCTCCCCCACAGCCTTGCCTTCCCCCACCAACTCAACATCGCCCGGCTCCGCTATTGCCTCTCTTCTCGGGCCACCGAAACCCTTACCGAATCCCTCCACAACAACAAAATTACATTTGTATAGCTCTTTCACATCGGGAGAACGTGCCACCACAAGCTGCAGACCATCAGAACTCGGCAGCTTGTGTCCTCTCCTGCACCAGGCTCTGTGACCCCATCACCCCCACCCTCGCCCACCTCCACTGGCTCCCTATCCTCCAGAGGATAGAGTTCATTATCCTCATCCTCGCCTTCAAGATCCTTCACGGCTTTGCCCCTACCTATCTCTGTGACCTGCTAACTAACCCCTTATCAACCTGTCTGCTCACTCAACTCAGCAGTCTTCGGCCTGCTACACATCCCCACCCGGACCACCCCTCGATCAGCGGTCAGGCCTTCAGCCTCTCCGCCCCCACCCTTTGGAACTCCATCCCACATTCCCTTCACCTCTCTCCCTCCCTTGCCTCCTTCAATGCACGTCTCAAGATTTTCCTCTTCAACCGTGCCTTCGGCCACCCTCATACCCTCCCTTACCCCAACCGCACCCCCCCCCCACCCGGGTCCAAATCCCTAACTGTCCAGTGCCTTGGGATGCCCCCCCGATGTGAAAGGCGCTATACAAATGTAATTTTGTATTGTATAGTGTGTACTAACATGCTGAACCATAACCCAGCAAAACACAGAGCCACTGGAAACTGGCTCACTAACTTGACACAACCTCCACATTTAATGTTAGCTAACAATTAAAATACATGAAGATCAATCTGCCAACAACTCATTCTCAGGAGAAAACCAGGACAAGGTGATGAACAGGTAAGGAAAAGTGCTGTCAGCTACACACCATAACTCATTATTTAACCCAGTCAGAAGCTAACACTGGACCCGCTAAGTAGTCAAAAAGTGTACGTTGTACAGCTGAACTCGTAGCATGGACCTTAATAATAATAATAAATAATAATCCTTGGATTTGACAAAGCACCTTATCACGTCTTCGAGACGTATCAAAGCGCATCACAGAATATACTGTAAAGTGAATTGACAATATATTTTGTGGGCGTAACACGGCAGCCAATTGCACACAGCAGTGTCCCACAAACAGTCGTGGATTGATTGACCAATTTTTGTTTAAGATTTGTCACATGTTCAGTCTCCAGTGGCATGTTCCCATTAGACTAACGGTCTTAAAAATGCAATCCTGTCTGCTAAAATCTAACGGTATGAAATGGCTTGTTGGTTCAGTTACTTAGGATATAAATAATATTTCCCATATGTCAACATCAATAATGAATTCCGCACAATCTTGAAAAACATTTCTTCAGAAAAGGAGCAGCTAAAGCATAACATTCTTACAATGAATTACATAAAATAAGCATGTTTCCATAAACAAAGCATCAAGATAAATGATGTGTTTACAACTGCACAAGAGGGATACATCCTAAAGATACCCCAAGGATTAAAGGAACACATACTAGAGTCAAAGCCAGCCCAGAGTTAAAGGGACATCCACCAGTTTCATAACTTGGACTACATTCTTGGGAGATAGAAACATTAAGGGATATAGCGAGAAAACAGGGAAATGAGAATAGGCCAGGTCTTGTTACTTAGTGCTAAGCAATGATCTGTGGCAGAGCCGTCTTAATGAACCAAATGACTTTCTCCTGTTCCTGACTACCCAGCCCATGTTAAAGAGATATCCCCCAGCTACCAGCCACTCAGTGTTAAAAGCAAAACATAGCTCCATGGTTCAGTATATTCCTATTAAATAATAATCATTATCTTTGATATACCACTTTTCATGACAGGAGGATTCCTCAAAGCCCTTCACAAGATTTACTGTAAAGTGTAGTGTTTTGAGAGCGTATGTGGCAGCCAATTTGTGCACAGCAATGTCTCAAAAATAGCAACAAAGTGAATGACCATTTTCATGTAAGGTAAATTATTTAGTTGGTCGCCCATCAAACTTAAGGCTCCTTTGGAGCAGAAATCTCTGATGTAAAATGCATTCTTTCTTATCAAAAATTTTTTTTAAACAAATCTCCTGCTTTCGGTCAAAAATCAGGATGGAGGATTTGAAACAATAATTGTTTTCACACAACCGAGCGATTCAAAACATGTCGCAAGATGACATTCACCGAATGAGGCTCAGTATACTCATTTTGACACGTCAGCATCCTGACTGCTTTAAAGCACATCACTCATACATGTACCAACAACAAAACAACGTGTATTAATATAGCATCCTTCACGCGAGTAGCGTCTAGGAGTGCTTACCACGATGAATGCAGATGGGAGCCGCATTTCCGGTCACGGTGCAGCTGTAAATTTAGCAGAACAAAGGCCAAAACAAACTGATTAAGACGCTATATTAAAATACAAGGATCATTTTTAAACAGTCATAAAGACTGTGTTGTGAAAGGGAGTGGGGAAAGAAGGCCTGAAAAGTTTGAATTCCCATGTACTGTCCCATGTTCCACAGGTTGATAATTTTCTATTACGCACAAGGATTGCTGGATTTCTTTTTCGAAACAAGATTGCATGCATAACAGAGAAAATCACAATTGTGTACGTACAAAATAGGGGAGTTGGAGGGGTGGAGGCTCACGTGGAGTATAAACAGTCGCGATTAGTTGCGCCGAACAGTTCATTTCCCTGCTGTAATGCTCTATGTAATTCTAAATGTTTATGGTACATTCTAACAGTTTAAAACAGAAATGAGTGTGTAGGATTTGCAAAAGAAAAAAATAATAATTAAATATGATGCTCCTTGGCTGACCTGCTGCTGTTGATTCTCCATTCCATTACTTGCAAAGTCAAACACCAGGCCTCCGCTATCCACCATCACTGATGTCATAGCACATTCCCTGGGGCCTCGAAAGGTGCTATGAACAAACCGCTCCCTCACACAGCAGTACGTTGCTGCCACAGTCTCCCAGCGCTGAACAGATCCTTTCTGCTCCAGGCACCTCGGGAACCATGCAGCACTTGACAGCTTCTTCAAGGAGCAAAGACAACGGTGCAGCACAGAGAGCGATCCCTCCGGAACGCACTTCCTCTACAGCTCACACCTTCCGAGTTCACAACACCAGGAAAACGACATTTCATCAAGTCTTCAGACAGAGTTTAGTGTTATCTGTAAAAGACACACAAAAAAATCATCCTACTGCTTATTGACTTTTTTTAAAAGGTCCACACATAAAGGGATGTAGCCGCAGAAGGGCAAAAGCTGGCTTGATCTTGAGTTTCGGTATGAATACAAACCCTGAAAGCGGGACCTCACAATCCTTCTGGCTTTTGGGGTTTTAAGCAGGAGATATCCGAAAAGCTACCACAGAGATATCTGGATTTTAGCAGCCTGGTGTTCATAGTCAAGTGGCTTTTTGATCCTTCAATGTCAGCTCTTCCTATCTTTGTGACGTGTTTCCATCATCCACCAAATATTGGATTGTTCACTCACTAACAGGGAACGGGAACTGGGTTTGGACTGTTACAAGACAGATTAGTTTTACCCACTGATGAATTGTTGCTGCAATAATAATCCGGAATATTGAAACTATCTCACCTAGCTCAGATCTCTAAATTCATGAGTTCTTAATGCAACAACAATAATTTGACCTTCAATTGATTTTCACCTCACACAATCTGCACAGTGTAACAGTGGTGACATTTCATTAGTGGCTTACATTAAGCACTTGTGGCTATAAATTTCACCCAGGTCTAGATTTACTCTATTTATGTCTTTTTTCGGAGCGCCCAGAAGGTATCAAATTGTTGAATTCAGTCCTAAGCCTAAAGTAAGTTGCCTGTAGTTCTTAAAAGAAACTTAAAGAAAACACAATTTAAATTTAAAGTTTTATTTTAAGTACACATTTGCTAAATTCTGGAAGTTCCAAAACTCTCAAAAGTGGAGTAAATCTAAACCCAGGTGGAATTCCCATGCCCCAAATTAAGTTTATAAACAGTGCAACAAGAGGGCAGCAATGAGCAGAATCTCCATCCAATTTTGACAGTTCTATTGTTAGTCAAACCGTTTTTATTGATACGCTTTGCTCTGCTTCCGCCCAACCATTTAAACTAACCTTCAGTAATGCCGAAACACAACTTCCATTCCATGCGTGAATCTGTAACTCTCAAAATGAACCTGGAAGGAACCCAAGTCTCTTTTTAAACACAATTACAAATACATGCAATAACTGCCCTTAACAAAGAAACATGGTTACCAATCAACTTCACTTACATCTCTCCCCCGCTCCCTAATCGAGTCCTTCCACTCCAGCTTCTGCCCTGCCCACGGCACAAAGACGGTGCTCGTCAAAGTCACAAATGACTTCCTCTCACTCTGTGACCAGCGTTCCCTCTGCCTCCTTGTCCTCCTGGACCTGTGCTGGGTTCAGCACAATCGACCACCCCATCCTCCTCCACCACCTTTCCTCCCTCATTCATCTTAGTGGGATTGCATTCTCCTGGTTCAAGTACTACTTAACCAACCGCCATCATTTCATCTCCACAAATGTTTTTTCCTCCTGCCCCCGCCCAGTCACCTGCGCTGCACCCTGAGGCTCCTTTCTTGGCCCCCTTCTCTTCCTCATTTCCATGCTTCCTCTCAGTAATGTCAGCCACAGACACGGGGTCAACATGTATGCAGATAACACCCAAATCTACTTCTCCTCCTCCAGCTGCGACTCCAGGTCCCCAATTTCACCAATAAAATATTCCAACAATCATGTCCAATTCTAGCAATGAAACATACAAAATAAACATATTCAAATCTTCAGAGGGGAGGAAGGACAGAATGGCTCTGTGACCTGGTCACTCCGGACAGTCAGTCTTTCAAAAAAAAACAATGCTTGCATTTAATGCAGCATATTTCATGCCAAGAGGACATCTCAAAACACTTCATAGGACTGACTGTGAAGTGTAGTCACAGTGTATCTGGCAGGCGAACGAAGCAGCCAATGCGTACAGCCATGAAGTGAATGACCAATTTTATTTGGGCAGCAAACACCACATCTTAAACCCTGATGCAGGCGTATTTAGGCACTGGTCTCCCATTCCAAACCTTTTTGTTGGGGAGGCCGTTTATCCCAATCCGAATCTCAGTCTCTCTGCAGCCGCAGAAACATCCCAAAGCCTTTGCTCACTGCTGTCTCACTCTGCATCTTTCCCCTTTGGGTTGCACTTCCCCTTTCAAAAACCACAGATATCTGTTCTTACGTATTTCCTCCCCTGCTCTGGGTCTCCTGCTGGCTTGCACAAGATGCCATTCCCTGGCCAAGAGGGGCGGGTAATCAGGCAAGCAGTGACGTCCCCGCCGACAGGGCTCTCTGAAGACAGCTGCAAGGAGTTGCACAAGAGCAGCTCAACATAACAGCCTCCAATTTGTTCTCTTTTCCAACTCCCCCTCCCTCCCTCCTGGGAAAATGACAAGCTCAAGCTTTCCTTTAGCAGCTTTCCCAGCTGGCCTCGGGAACACACAGTATAGAGAAGTGCCCAAAAGAGAGGCCATGTGCGTGCGTGTGTGTGTGGGGGGGGGGGGGGGGAGGCTGTCCCTATATGAATTAAAGCTTCACTTGTACTTTGAAATGAAGAAATAACCAAGATTAAAAATATTACGACGACTGATAAAACCCTTAGATCTTTTGCTGTGGATTCAGAGTGTGGGATATAAACTCTGAAGTGAAAATAATGAAAACAGGCAACCTCGCCCTCAAAAAACAATCGTCAGGTAATCTCCAGAAACAACATTCCAGTCAGCGCCAAACAACATTTAATCACATAGCTCTTATTCCTGTTCAGCTGTTCTCCTGCTTCCGCACCAAGCTACAAGAACCAAACATCCCCAGCCTCGCCCGGCACCACTGGTTCCCCATCCCCCAGAGGACAGCTTCAAAATCCTTGTCCTCACTTTCAAAGACCTTAAAGGCCTTGCTCCTCCCTACCTCTGTGAGCTGCTAACCCCATTCTGACCTGTCCACTCAGCAGACTCTGGCCTGCTCCATGCTCCACATTCCCCTCCCGGCCTGCCCCACCATCGGAGGTCGGGTCTTCAGTCTTTCTGCCTCCACGCTTTGAAACTCCATCCCACAGTCCCTTCGCCTCGCCCCCTCCCTTGCCTCCTTCAAGGCCCGTCTCAAGACCATCCTCTTCGACCGTGCCTTTGATCACTCTCCTATCCCTACGTTCCATGTCCTCCACCACTCCTGAACCCAACCCAGGTCCAAATCCGTAACTATCCAGCGCCTTGGCATGTCCTCCCGACATGACAGGCACTATACACATGTAATCTGTTGTTGTTCATCTTGCCCCTATTTATACTACACAACTAGAATTCAAATCAACTCAGTTTCCAATTGATGCGTTGAAAGTACAGCATAAACCAGGTTTAACGCGTGCAAGAAAAAGCATTATTCTGCATAACTTGGTTTTCTTCAGCGAGATCAAATTTGGAGAAAATTTTTTGAATCCTATCTCCTGTTCCAAATTTTTTCTCCTTTTGAGGTTCTGCCACATTAGGCTTAGGATATCTTACAATTACAATTCAGTCTCCTTTCTAACTTCAGGGCAACTATTTCACCCGCATACACACATTCGTAACATCCAGGCTCGAATACGCAAACTCCCTGCTTGTCAGTCTCTCCAACTCCTTCCTTCATAGGCTGCAGATCATCCAGGACTCTGCAACCCGTGTCCTCTCCCGCACCAGGCTCTGTGACCCTATTACCCCCATCCTCGCCTGACTCCACTGGCTTACCATCGCACAAGAGGATACAGTTCAAGATTCTGGCACTCACCTCCAAAGCTCCCTCCATGGTCTTGCTCCCCCCTACTTCTGCGACCTCCTAACCCAATACCAACCTGCCCTCTCCCTACACTCAGCGGGCTCTGGCCTGCTTCACGCCCTCAGCCTCGCCCACCCCACCATTGGTGGGTAGGCCTTCAGCCACTCTGCCCCCAACCTCTGGAACTCCATCTCGCAGTTATTCCGTCTCACCCCCTCCCTTGCCTCCTTCAAGACCCATCTCAAGACCCTCCTCTTCAACCGTGCCTTGGTCACCCTTCTTCCTCGCCTGTACTCCACCCTCTCCAATCCCAACCCCCAGCTCGGGTCTGAAACACTGACTGTCCAGCATCTTGAGACGTCCTCCCGACGTGAAAGGCACTATTCAAAGGTTTTGTTGTAGTTGTTCACCCAGATCAATAATAATAAATAATAATAATAAACACCACCCTTGAATTTGATTCAGCACCTATAATGTCAAATTGTCACAAAGAACTTTACAGGTTATTACTGTTTAAAAGATGTCAGCTGGTGACACTCTCATCTCTGAGTCTGAAGTCAAAGGAGGGCTTTGAAGGTGGGATTTGAGCTCACAGTCCAAGCTGACACTCCAGAGCAGAGCTCGGTTCTGCAGCAGCTTTCAGATGGGATGTTAAAACTAGCCTGTTCAAGTAGATGTTAAAGATCCCACAACACTGTTCAAAAGAAGAATTTCCCCCATGTGTCCCTCACCAACAATCCTCCAACAATTGGTTGCTATGTTTTTGTCTACAAATGCATAACTTCTGCATTGAAGTTAATTGTCCATGAGGTGCTTTGAGACACAACATTATAGGTGCTCAGGTGAAAGGATTATTATTGAAAACAGTCACTACACTTGATAAGTAGCTGTGAAGCACTTTATTATAAGAATTATAATAATCCTTGCAATTGATATAGTGCCTGATCATGTCTTCAAGGTTTCAAAGAGCTTCACAGAATATACTGCAAACTGAATGGACTGTAAATTTTGTGAGCGAAACCCGGCAGCCAATTGCGCACTTTGAGATGTTTTTAAGTGATAGAGCACTATAAAAATCCATTGTCTTTCTTAACAGATGACAATTTGAAATTAAGTTCTTATTCTTGATGCACATTAGCTGCGGCACCAGGGACATGCAATGAATGTGGCAAGGCTGGGAGTTTGCCAATGGAAAAGGAAGTGAGAAAGGGAGAGAGAGGCAGTTGGTTAGGAAGACACTCACCATTTCCCGACAGGTGGTTTCAAAGCATCATGTGGGGAAGGAAGCCTGGGAACAGATTGTCCGTCTTCTCGGGCATGTGGGGACCCAGCTGCGGGAACGATAATTAAACTGGGTCAGAAATGTTCATTCAGAGAAAATCATTTAAATAAAATGATTGCACTTGAAGCAACCTAGTCTGACCCTCAAACCACAGGCCGAGACAATAACAGAGCAATCCCCAGGAAGGGAGTCACGAGCTCCATCACCTCCCTGTGATGGGAGGCTGCTTAAAAGCAGAAATTCATCCCCTGCTATTATCATCATCAACCTTAATATTTTGCAAAGAAGCTTTTTTTTAAAAAAAAGTAATCAACTTGCAGATTGGGGTTTACTTCAACAAACATTCAGCTTCTGATTTCTGGACAAGGGACTCGAATCTCTTCACGGCGATGATGGGGAAACCACCAAGCAAGAAGTCTTGTGGGGGAGTTCAAGGGAGTTAAAGCACGACGAGAAGCCACAAAGCGAAGCGAATTTAGGAGAGAATTCCAGAGGCAGGGGGCATTGGTGGGGGGGTGGGGGGGGGGGGTGTGGGATGGAGTCCACACAGTGTCTGAAGGCTCTGTCATGCTGATGATAATACTATGGAAGGAATGAACCAGAGTAGGAAAAGCACAAAGTACAGGCAGGAGACTGGGAGCTCTGAGACGCAAGAGCAAGTTGTTGTTGCTGTTGTTGGGAGTGGAGGAGATTGAAGAGACAGAGAGGGGCAGCATGAAGCTGATGTTGGCACTGCCAACCCAATCTTAATACATTTATGAAACACTCTAGTGCTAGATTTACAGCAGAGTACTGAGCGGTGGCCTGCCTGGGCACAGGAAGCATTAAAAAGCTAATTTCCTCCCCAATCCAAAGGCTGAAATGAACTGCCACAAACACAGTGCTGACAGTTAACTGTGGAACAAAAGTTAAAACAAACTTTAGTTCAATATCTTATCAGTATTTACAGCAGACTGGATGAAGCAGTGAGTTAGCACACTGGTCTTTCAGCTCTAGGGCCTGAGTTCAAATCCAGCTCAGACAGATGAAATTAAGAGTGTCTGTATGCAGACAGTGAGTTCCTAAAGTGGAAAGGAGAAACCTGTCCCCATTTCAGCATTTTTTGGGGGTCGGCCAGGTTTCTGATACACGTGGAAACCCTTCATCACGCTTAAGAGTATCCAAACCAAGTTGAGAATTCCATGCATCCCACCTACACATGGAACAGAACAGCAACAACAAAATTACATCTGTATAGAGCCTTTCACATCAGGAGGACATCCCAAGGCAGTGTTTCAGACCCAAGCTGGGGGTTGGGATTGGGCAGGGGGGAGGGCGGGGGGAGGGCAGGGAAGCAGGGTGATCGAAAGAACAGTTGAAGAGGAGGGTTTTGAGATGGATCTTGAAGGAGGCAAGGGAGGGGACGAGGCAGAGGGACTGCGGGATGGAGTTCCAGAGGGTAGGGGCAGAGTGGCAGAAGACCCGCCCGCCAATGGTGGGGCGGAGGACGTGAAGCAGGCCAGAACCCGCTGAGCGGAGGGAGCGGGCAGGATGGTAGATTGTTAATAGGTCGCAGAGGTAGGGGGGAACAATGCCATGCAGGGCTTTGAAGGTGAGGACTGGGATCTTTAACTGAGTCTAACCAGCTAAGCCACATAGTTAGGCAAGGTGAGTTTCTAAAGAGCAAAGGATGAAACTACCCGCAGTTCCCATCTCTGAGTGACAGCAATGCAAGCACTCACTCCCTGGAGGAATGCATCCTTGCTTAAATAATTTCGGAAAGCATTAAGCGCAGGTTAGCAAGAGCCAAGGCTTGGGGACCCCAGAACTGTGCTTTGGGGTACTGTTGGTGTCTAACCAGCTAGACCACATAGTTAGACAAGGTGAGTCTCTAAAGAGCAAAGCATGAAACTACCCCCAGTTCAGCATCTCACAGCAATCTCACTCCAAGTGACCACAGGTAGGCTGGTGGAGGGAATGGAAAATGCCAGAATATAAGGAGCAAGAATGGGGGAGAAAGGAAAGGGATTCCTCTTCTGAGCCTTGGATAAGGCACTTTGTTGAGCAGAGGGGAGCTTTTCTCTGCACCTAACCATCCAATAGTTGATACCACAACCTGCTTGCATTGCTGACACTGGATGCCCAAAATGGAAAAGGTGTTCTATTCCACCAACATTTATTGAATTCACTTTATTGAAAAGAAAATTCACCAACAAAAGAAATAACTAAAAGAAAGAAAGAAAAATAATCCAAGAGACTTTCTGTTTCAACTTGGTTTTGCAAAGCTGGCGTGCCAGTGAAATTCTTTGTTGCATTCCTTTTGTTGGTGATGTATGGCTGTTGATATCCTCAGCGTGTGGGAACGGGTTCGTTTTCTGAAGACGTG